CACCCACACACACACACACACACACACACACACACACACACACGATTAAAACACCCCTGAGACCACTTTGTATTACATTACATTGTTTTCAATCTGCCATACTTCTGAAGACCACAGAACAGTGACTCAGGCAGGGTACATTATTAATAATGACACACTCGTACACACGCGCACCAAACATGAAAATCCCCAACTTCCTTTTTAAATTCTCCAAATGACCCGAGAGTGACGGTCGAGGGGACTTCTTGGAATCTCTCTTATCGGTCCGATGTAGAATGACTGTGACTTGACAAAACCCCCTTTGGCCACACACTCATCCCATAATGGCCTTCTTGGCATCAAATAGCTGTGGGTGTTTTTTTTTTTTTTTGAAAGCAAAGACGAGTAAAGAGCAAAGAAGCCGCCGCGTCATGGTCTCTTGGCAGGCGTGTAAATAAAGTAAATGTCTGTGCGCAAATAAGGGTGGTGGAGGGGAGGGGGTTCTGAACTTCACGATCTCATTCTACTCATAATCCCGTCTGTGGGCGGCGAGTCGTTATTTGCGCTCCTGTAGACTGGAAAACTGGGACTCCAGTCGAAGCCGTGCGCCCCAGTTAATCACTTGTTGCAAGCTAACATCTTGTTATGAAAACACAATGCGTATCTCCACATATAATGTCATATAATCACTAGTGGACGCCATGACCCGATTGCAATTTTAATTATTGATTTTTTGACTTTTAAAAAAAAAAAATTTATTCATTACAAATGTTTACGTGCCACCTTTTTATTGACACAAAGCAGAGTTCATGCCATGGCTTCAATCTTCGGAAGGTGCATGTCAAAGCTAATGCGTGCGCCACGGCGACGTGGGCAGAAAGAAGTGACTCACTCAATGAGTCACAAATTGAATTAGCCTTGACGTAAATTGCCGCTTGTGCCAATCGCTCGGTCCAAAGGTGACTCCTTCCGTGTGACACGGCACTTTTGTGTAGAATTATGAAGCTGCGCTCGGGTTATGTATGCCGTCAAATGATAAAAAAACGGTAATCTTCACAATCCGGGTGAAATGTACGATCGGTTGACAATCGCCGCGGTTCTCACTGCCTTTAAATAGAGTAAAAAATAAAGAACTGTATTTAAATCACGATTCTGTTCAAATACATTGCACGTTAAGCCACAAATCATCGAATAAACCCGCACTTCTCAACAATCGCTAACATTTCAAATCAGTAATAACGAATGTTCTGTGTTTGAAATCTGCTGCTCCCCGTCATTGAAGCTTACCGCATCCAAGCGCTTACAAATCACACCAAAGCCGGCGGAGCGGCGCAAAGTCAAAAAGCCACCGCCCCCGAAGGCCTCTCGGGATTTGCCCGGATATCGTTTCACGTCAATTCCGAGACACCGTCGGAGAGCCGAGGGCTTTGCAGCCTTCAAGTGTGGATTAAAAGTATTTGGCTTTCCCCAGAACAATGCCGTGCGTTTGCCACGATGTCTTAAAGGGGAAGCCGCGCTTGAACTTGACTTGTCTCTGTGTTTTCCAATCACAAAAAAACCAAAAACAAACCAAAAAAAGCCCCACAATAAATAGAATGTTGGTTTAGTGACAACATTTCCCCATTAAAAGATTTCTGAATGTTCTGAACTCCTCTTTCAATGCCCGTGCTGAATCTGCATGGGTGCAGACTAGCTCACATGGAATTTGTTACTTTTGTTTTGTTGATTTCCTGCCGCAGACTTGGCATAGTCACCATTATTAATCTAAATAGAAAGAGACGTTTTCCAAATCGGAAATGATGTCAAGGCAAGCTTGCGTCAGCACCTCATTAAAGGTCAGGAATCCCATTTTTAGAATGGATTCAGTGGACTTCCTCCGAAATCCTTGATGTAGTCACTTTTGTGAGGAGGGCTGCGCGCTCCCCACAAGGAGTCAGCGCAAGACTTTTAACGCCGTACTCCTCTCACTCCCTCAACATTCCCACGTCCCGCACACAACCCTGCGGTGTCGTCTGCGCGACCGCGCCTCGGCGACAGTGACGTGGAGCAGTTGACGGCGGGACGGTTGGCTCAGAGCCCGGCGGCACCGCAGACTCCCGAACGGTGGGAAAAACTCAGGTCCAAACTTCCACACGTGTATAATTAAACAGCTTTGTATCCCAAGACGACCCGCACACGCGTAAACGTTCGCGCCGACGTCCGTTTTGACTCACCGACTATGTCATAAGGTGCGTTTAGGTCGCCTCTCCTTCAGTTTCATTTTCGTCTGAATCCAAACTGTTGCCGCCTTTTCCATCAGGCATCATCGAAATGTACTTTTAAGTTCGAGACTCATATCCTGACAT